TCCTTACTTCATTTACCAGATATATTATTTTTTCTGCAATGTGGGGAATGTCTTTCATAGTCAGAAGATTAAATCTGGTACATGAACTGAGTTCTAGATTTTTAACAGTTTCAATTACTTTTTTGTGTGTTAGACCAGTGCGAATTTGTTCAACTAGATATGTCGTTTCTTTTGTAGTTAGGGGTTGACAGCGAAGATCATTGTGATGAACAACATGAATAGCAATAAACTGAACAAGTACCACTGAGGAAGAATGATCAAAGTGAGCTGTAATTCGTGAAGGACAGACTCCTTGCATTTTGATACTGCCACTAGTTTTAGGAGCTCGTATATTAAATTTACTAACAGAATTTGCTAGATTACTTCTGACATTCATAGTAGAAAATAATAATTCGTCATATAAAAGAATTAGTTTTTAACTCTAAATCTGCTTTTCGTGTAAAAAAAATCTTCCGTTTTCTTAAATTGTAGATCCTTTACTTCCAACTCAATGTTATAAACGATGTTGAAATGATTCGTTAATAAGTGAAAACGCTGAAAGTTTTCAAAGCATAGCGGACAAATTATTCTGCTAGTTTTTAATATTTTTGAAATTGTCGCCGTGAAAATATCTTAGATGTCGATTTGTACTTGAAATTATTTCACACAATAAGCACATTTTGTTAACACTTCAAACTTTTGGATGCTCATACTGAAATATGTTTTGTCATGTCTAGTGCTTGTTTTTACTTAATAAAATAATAGAACTTTATCTGTCCATTGTCCTTTTCATAAAAATTACACGAAATTCTTTAATTAGCCACAAAACAATAGTATATTACAAAATTAATATTTCACTTCCCCCCACAAAAGTACATATTCAACGAAAATGTATAAACGTAAAAGATAAAAATCCAAACATAACTTTGACTGCTGGGTAGCTTCTAAACCCTCATCGTAGAGTCATATAAAATCAAGGACCACCAGATGGGTGAACGGACACGGATAATAATAATCAGAGTTTTTACGGTTTGAGATTTCATTCAGTTCTATCAAAAATTTTATTGTACATAATAAATAGGTATTTAGAACATAGTGTGATTTCATTTTAAGTATCAAGCTTCAAAATATACTTTCGTTGCTAATTTTAAAGACTAGTTTTTGATTTTTGTTGTTTTTTTTTGTGTACAGATTCGTTTCAATGCAAAATTAGGTCACCCACATAGAATTTGAACATTTGAAATTACGCGGGCGTAATTTGTTACCCTCATGCGCGGAACTCCAACATTCTTGATAGTCAATTTGTTGTTAAAAATAAAAATAATTCATAATGGAATAAACAAACAAATTTATTGTGGTTAAACATCACAGTAAATGTTGAAAATGTTCACCATTTAGTTCAAGGCACATATTCACTCTCTTTTTCTTACTTTCAAAAATGTTCTGTAACATCCTTCCATCAATGCTTTGAACCCATCGTTCAATTTCATGTTGCAACTCTGCCAAGTTATTCATTTGCCGTTGAAACACTTTGTCTTTCAAATATCCAAATATTGAAAAGTCCAATGGCGTAAGATCTGGGGAACGTGGTGGAAATGCATGCTGCACTCCTAAACTTATTACACGATCGTCATAATGTTGTTGTAAATATTCCAATATAGCACGTGCAGTGTGTGCAGTCGCGCCGTCCTGTTGAAAGTACCCTAACTGCAGCTCTTCGTCATCAAGTTGTTGAATAAATGGTTCCAAAATCTGTTGCCTATACCTCTCTCCAGTCATGGTATCTTGAAAGAAAATAGGTCCATATATTCATCTACGAGAAACTGCCAACCATACTCCAATTTTTAAAGAATGAAGAGGCGTCTCTACAAAAACATGTGGATTTTCCGCGGACCAAATTCTAAAATTTTGCGAATTGACATAGCCAGATAAATGAAACCATGCTTCATCACTAAAAAATGTAAGATCCAGTAACCCGTCATCATGAAAAGTATTCTGAAACCAATGCAATATTCTACGCGGCGTGGAGGATCTATTGGTAAAAGTTGTTGCACAGTAGTTATTTTGTAAGGATGCATATGCAATCGTTTTTTCACTACTTTGTGACATGTGGTTACGGGAACTCCTGACTGTTGAGATAATCTTGTCAAAGATGTTTGGGGATTCTGCTCGAGTCTTTCTCTCAAATCATCAACAACTTCCTCAGATACTGCAGGTCTCCCAGAAGATTTCCCTTTGTTGACATTGCCAGTGCGAACAAATCTGTTGATGACATCTCTAATGTGAGCCTCTAATGATGTTTCTTGAATTTCCAAATCAGGGTAATTGGCCAGATATTCTTGCTTACAAGCGGCTACAGAATACAGCCACGCTCCGTCTACGAATGTCCCATTGCGATAATAAGACATAACGATGAAAGTGTTTTGCTCAACCGAATAAACCATTTTCACGGTCTTCGCTTCGAGCACAAAGTTTTCGCACGCAAGCACCAAGAGCCTTGAGAAAGGCTATTTTGTTGTTTTAAACTTGGATCAACGAGAATTACTGTAAATCACACTTGGAAAGTGGTAGAACAATAAAAGCGATGATTTTAAGTGACAGGTTACAAGTGACAAGTGAGAACTGTCAAATGAGACAATTTCAGCAAAGCGGCATTTTTGAAATCCATGGCCAACTACGCCCTTAGAATCATTTATGAAAGCCCTGTAGTTAATCATGGTAGCACACTAGCAGTGGCGGCTCGTGACTGTCTGATGTGGTGAGGCGATGTTAGAAATTTGACAATAATAACATTAATAATAATATTAATAATCAAATTAATTAAATTAATGTGATTAATGCATATTACTTGGTCTTACTAATTAGTAATGATAGAAGTCTTTTTTTCCGGGTCAGTGGTGGGTCCTAATAATAATAATAATATTAATAATAACACCCATAACACATTTAATCAGCAATGTTTTTACAAGTCAAAATTTTGTTCAAACTAGGACTTTCTTGGAGGGATTCGGGAATAGTTGTTGTGTTCCTTTGTAAAGGTTTTAGGCCCATGAAATTTGTAATGTGTACTTTGGAACTTTCATGTAACTTTGCACTTCGGATGAAATTATTTAAATCGTTATATCCCGGGACGTCAAATATTACGGCAGAGTCATTTATATGTTTCGTACCAAGTTGATTTAAAAGACTTGGAGTACTGACGATTCTGTCGCTTATCAATGGAAGTTAAATGAATTAACGGTTTTGACTGCTCGATATTTAGCAAAATTTACCGACATTCTAGCTCGGTTCGCCGTGAAAACGACGTTTCAAGAAGGAACATGACGATATTGGTACTCGGGATTCATTTTTCATTCATCTGTACCTATGAAAGAGACAAAAGCACGAAACATCAACACGCGGGCTTTTACTCACGTTCATGCTAATTACCCACGCACCCCGCAGCGCTTCCGTTCTGTAAAATAAATGGGAAAATGGCTTAATAAGTACTCCGAAAATGGCCGAGAAGCACCGAAGATACCGCCTCAGTTCCGAGCGAACGCATGTATAGGAGTATAGGAGCTGAGCCTGGCTGAGCCATGGAAATCCGTGTCTGCGATTGGGCTTCGTTGGTTCAAGTGAACCGACGTTCTGGCCGCTTCAGTTAAAGAACTAGGAGCATAAATCGTACGGTATTCAACCGAAATTGTCAGCAGAAAGCGTAGAAAATAAAAAATCATTTACAGATTTGCCATTTCAACATATTTTTGTAACTGAAAATGCATTGAAAGCTTATTTTTAATTACAAATTAAGTCAATCTGTTCTTAAGATATATGCTGTGAGGCGCCGCCTCACTTGCCTCATCTGACGAGCCGCCACTGCACACTAGCAAGCTAACTTTTACGATTTCACCATTTCTAGAGATGGGTCCGCAGACTAATCCGAACATGCACCTTGCTAAGCTTGCTAAGCTTAGACCTTCGAACGAATAATACCCATGAAATTCTTTTCGCACCGGAAATGGTAGTAAAAGTGCACATCCGTGGAATATTAAAAGTAATCACAAAACTTCCAACACCTCCATCACGTTACCCAGAAATTTCAGAGCGAAAAACCTTACCTTGAAGATCACTGGTGCCAATTTGATGCCAGCATGGTATTTTTCTTATGGATATCAGTTGATCTTATAAGTGTTCGAAATTCTGGGCACAGTCCCAGGTTTCAGCTACTTATCTATTCTCAAGGCCCCAAGACCTCTCATTATCATCAGATTTCTGCGAGTGTTTTTGAAATTCTCTATGCCTAAATCAAGAATAAATCAAATATTCAAGTAAATAATAAAAATTAGATTATTAAATGTAACAAGAGTGTTTCAGGCGCTCGAGTCGACAATTCTACAATGTCACTTTATTTTTTCTTTTCTTCATGTCTTTGTATGGACTTTTGGGGGTGCAATTCTTGGAAGCCAAAATAGTGTTGCTATTATCGATGTCGTCACAATTTTGAAATTGATAGACAAACATTTCACGTTAATTCTTAAAATTCAAAAAACCCTAGCCTCAATTTCAAATTATTTTCCATTTTTTTATATACCGACGTACTTAATTGAACCTCTATCACAAATTTATTGAAAGACCACTTCATAGTCATTGATTAGGGATATTGGAATAATTACTTTTGTATGATTACGCAGAAGTAAGTATATAAAATTGTAATCTAACCCTCTGACCGGTGGCAGTTTTTGTAAATTTAGATAATGAAGGCGACTAACGGGTCAATTTCAAGTTGGATTTACAATTTCAAGTCAACGTTGCCATGGAAAATGCGATGACAGCAGTCGCGAGGACGAATCAAATCGCGAATCGCAACAACTGTCATCGCAATTACCATGGCAACGGCACTTGCAATTTCGCAAGTCCAACTTGAAATTACACCCTATGACTCAGACACTCTTGTTTTTCTACATATATTGTGGTAAATAAAAAAAAAATAATTAATTGTATCTTGAATACAGAATATATTAGATTTTATTGCTCTTTAGACATGGCAACAGAACACCTGACAGAACATCACTTTTTCCAAATGATCCCAACGTTAATGAAACGTACGAACCCTTTGGTTACAGCCAACTGACAACTGTAAGTAAAATTTTCCACAACTTAGACAATATTACTAAGATAATAATCAACAGAAAGGGAAGAAAACACAATACGAAATAGGGCGTTATCTTCGTGAAACCTACGGCGACTTCATCCCAGCTCAGTACACCCCAGATGCAGTCTATGCCATATCCACAAATTTCAAACGAACAAAAATGTGTCTAGAGTTGGTACTTGCTGGTCTTTTCCCACCCCTCGAATCCGACATTTTTACCGAAAGTTTGAACTGGCAGCCCATCCCGTTCAACGTCGAACAACAAGAAGAATTAATAGGAATCCCCTTAATTTACTGCTCCAATTTTGTCCGACAATACTACAAATTTATGTTATCTCTAGAAGGAAAAGAAATGCTCGACAGCTACCAAAACCTTTATCAACAATTATCGAATTATAGCGGTCTCGCGGTAACATCACCTGACGAAGTACTCGATGTGTTCGAAACCCTTGAAAGCGAGGTATTAAATGTCTGCTTGACTAAAATCTAGTAATCACATTTTGACGCAGCAATATTACGGACTTGAACTACTGGAATGGACGTCTGAAATGTGTCCGGACGTTCTGGAAGAAGTCGCTTCTCGTTATTTTAAATTTGCACTGCCACACCAGGATTGACAAGATTGACTACCGGTTGGTAGGTACTCAGGTCATGCAAACAAATACATTTTCCTGTATCATCTAGGGAAATTTTTGATTAAGATTCTAGACGTTTCGGTTATAACAAGTTGAGGATTTTTACCTGAAGAAAGAAACATTTCTTTGTATTCAGCACACGACTTTCAAGTTGCTATAACATTGTTAAACAGTCTGGCTCTTTATGACAAACATATGCCTCCAAATGATGCTACGGTTATATTTGAAATACATGGCATAGAAGGAGTTTATGGCTTAAAGGTTGTCAGTTATTTTAAAATAACTACTGGGTGTTGATTTAGTTTTATTTGTTTTTAGTCGTTTCATCAAACTGTTGACGATACCTGATTGCACAAGTTTTTGCGAAATTGATAAATTTGCTGAACAAATAGCTGACGATTTTCCTGGAATGGCCGATATTTGCACATTTACTGGAGAATTAATGTAAACAGCGATAAGATAAAAGTGCCAAAATATAAATCCTTATTATGAACATACATCTACGTGAATGAATAATGAAAATTTTATAGTTCATAACATATAAATAAATTAATTAAAAATACTGTACAACTGCTTTGCTTATATTTACGAAGATCGGAATGACAACTTATTCTAATTTCAACAATCATGTGATTGACTTGAGAAATTAGTGTGTTTATTTTTACTTTATGAACGACGTATTAAACTTAAACCTGAAGTATTTATCTTAATTGAAATGGAAATGTTCATTTTTAAAAATCATTTAAAAATAAAAAGTCTGTAAAAAAGTCTATCTACACACTTCAAATTTCACAAATATTGATAAAATACGTAATACACAATTTCTCCATTAAGTTAACTCGTGAAAACTTTCTTTATCTATTTGTACGCAATAAAGTCTTATTTTTATTATCCTTTCTTGAAAAAGACTGAAAACTTAGATACGCTTATTTTATATTTTTATTTTTTATGAATTTTGAAAAATGGAGCTTTTGGAAAAGTTACTTAAAAATTTACAAAAATGCTAAGATTATAGAGTATTTATGGTTCCAGAGGCAAATTTCCGAAAATCCCGTTTGATAATAATCACTTTTTTGTCAATCCTAAAAACTGCCATATTTCATTTAAGAGATTGTAGAGTTCGCATTCTGCAAAAAATCTTTGGGTAATTTTCGAATTTAACCGAAAAAAAAATTAAAAATTTAATGAGCATTGAAAAATTGAGCTTCTTGGAAAAGTGGCCTAAAAGTTCATAAAAAATTCAGATTTCGACGTGTTCGGGAAAATTAGCGAAAAATCTACAAAAATTTCTAAGCTATAGATCTCGACGAGGTGATTCAAAAAATATAGCGTGTTCCTTACAATCATTTTTTCTAACCTAAAATATTGCCATAATTCATGGAGATTCTGGAAATATGGTACGAATTTTCGAAGGAAAAAGTCGAAAATAACTTCTGGAAGTCGAAAAATCTCTTGAAATAATTTTCGAAATTTGTCGAAAAAATGCCAAAAATTTCATAAGGTGAAAATCCTGAAAAATTTTCCAAATATTCACTGTGAAAGTAACTTTTTTTATTTAAAAAATTTTTATATTCAAAAACAGTAAGAATTTTCGAAGAAATGAAACTGAAAATAAGGTGGTCGAAAAAATTTGGTCGAAAGTTGTTTCACTCCTAAAGTATTAAAAGATTAGGATGATTTTTTCGGCTGTTCAGTGAAATTCCATCGGACGAATGACTACCTCATTTCTCAACTTGTTATAACCCTTAGAGTACGAAAACATAGGTCTCCCGTTTCGGTCGGTCCGTCTGTCTAACTGTCTGTTGGTCTGTTCGCCGTCTCTGCCTAATCATCCTACTAACAATGTGATGACATGACTTCAAAATTGTACGCAGTAAATGTGCTTTACATTTTATAAAGTAGCATTCTTTCACGTGTAGTTTATGAATCCGGAACATTCAGATTTTTGAACAAAAAAATCAAAAATGTATGACATAATTTTGCAATTTAACTTTGAAACTGCAAAACCGAATGCTCTGAAATTTTGCAAACGTTTTAAGGTTATCATCAGCATGGTAAATTGTCAATCAAAATTTACCCGTTTACCGCCTCCCAAAAAATGGATAACGTCTCTCAAGAACGGCTCAAACATTTTGCTGAAAATTTTATAAATTTGGACCAATTTTTTTAATGAAACCTGAATGTGCTCGCTGCACTCGCCTTCTAAAAGCTCTTTCTTTAAAGTTTAGTTTCAGAAATATTATTATTATTATTATTATTAATACAAAAATAAGGATCGAGGTAAAACCTATGCATCCAAATAGAAATAAGAGACAATTCCAATAACAAAAGAAAAAAAAAAGTTGCACAAGAAAGTGTTTTAGCGAAATTGTTTGGGATAATTTATAATAATAATTTTGTAGATTTTCGGAAACTCGCTGCGCTCGCATTCTAAGCAATTTTTTTTTTTTGCATTTTAGCCTCACGAAAAATAAATATAAATGATATAATACTGAAATGATATTAAACCCGACTTAAGGAAATAAGTACAGTTCCTAATGCAATGGAAGAAGGGCCAGTTTTTTTTAAAAAAAGGTTATTATTTTCTGCAAAATTTGGATACTGTGATATTGGTACTTTTACTAAACAATTTTGCAATGTTTCAAAAGAGTTTTGACACTCCATTTAATCTATTTATTGGCGCTGCTACATTAGTAAAATTTTGTAAAGTTTTATTTTTGTAAAGTTTTTTCTTTTCTTAGTACCTTATTTTTTCTCTAAATAATACGATAATGCTTCAAACATATTTCACTCCGTAATTTCTTGTACAGAAATATGGATTTTGAGATTAAGCTCCACCCCTCGGTCTCACGACGAATAAAAAAATTCATCACAATTAGGAAGGGGCGGGTGGGTGGGGTTTATCCATTTCAATAACAAAATACCTAAAATATCAAATGGTGAATTCGAGGTTAGAATTATGTTTTCAGTATTATGTGGTTGAAAGTAAATTCTATACATTAAGAAAAAGAAGTCAACGATTAAGCCCCCTCTCCCACCCGCCCCTATCTCAATTGTGATGAAATTTGCATTTATTGTCACTTCGAAAGACGGACCATAATTACAAAATCCACTTTTCTTTAGAAAAATTTACCATTTTCAAGATGTTTTAAGTTTCTTGTTGCGAAAAGATGACTATACGTATATTAAGGAAAACATTGGTCGAAAGTTGTTTCTACAGAACTTCCCTCGCACCTAAAGTACAATAAAACATATCCAGCATTTTCGAATTGAGTTTTTACTTTTTGCCAAGACACATAGGTAGGTATATTAGCTTGAATAAGCATATTAGAGGGGAATACTGAAAAATTAAGCTTTTCAAAAAAATATAGGGTATTTACTCCATCCGAGCAAGATTTTCGAAATCTGATCATCAAATTTGATGATCAACTACTTTTTAATTCCTAAAAATTGCCACATTTTGGAAAAATAGCAGGGATTTCAAATAGACAAGCCGAAAATTAATGAAAAAGACATAACAAACAGGAAAAATCTCAGAATTTCATTTGCTGAACTAATCGCTGACAATTTTCCTGGAATGGCCGATATTTGCACATTTACTGGAGAATTAATGTAAACAGCGATAAGATAAAAGTGCCAAAATATAAATCCTTATGAACATACATCTACGTGAATGAATCATGAAAATTTTATAGTTATCTGATTGATGTTTGTTTTTCATAACATGTAAATAAATTAATTAAAAATACTGTACAACTGCTTTGCTTATATTTACAAAGATCGGAATGACAACTTATTCTAAGTAATTTCAACAATCATGTGATTGACATGAAAAATTAGTGTGTTTATTTTTACTTTATGAACGACGTATTAAACTTAAACCTGAAGTATTTATCTTAACCCAATTGTTCATTTTTAAAAATTGATTAAAAATAAAAAGTCTGTAAAAAAGTCTACCTACACACTTCAAATTTAACAAATATTGATAAAATACGTAATACACAATTTCTCCATTGAGTTAACTCGTGAGAATTTATTTTATCTATTTATACACAACAAAGTCTTATTTTTTCTTGTAGAAGACCGAAAATTTAAGTATGCTTATTTTATTTTTTTTATGAGCCTTGAAAAATGGAACTCTTGGAAAAGTTGCCTAAAAATCCACACGAAATGCTAAAATGTAGACCTCGAAAATTTTAGTATGTTTATGGTTTCAGAGCAAGATTTTTGAAAATTCCGTTTGATAATAACAACTTTTTTGTTAATTTTAAAAATTGCTGGATTTCATGTAAGATATTCTGGAAAGACAGATTTTCGAAGAAAAATAGCGGAAAATAAATTCTGGAGATCGCATTCTGCAAAAAAATCTTTTTATGTATTTTTCGAATTTAGCTGAAAAAAGGTGAAAAATTTTTATACATATTGAAAAAATGAGTTTTTTGGAAAAGTTATCCACAAATTCATAAAAAACTCTGATGGCTCGGGACGATGAATTTTCAAATATTCAGTTATATGCGATATACTTACCATGAATTTCGACAAGTTAAAATAGTAAAATACAGTGTAATGATGATCCCAAACGAAGATTTTCTAAATATTTATTTTTAATTTAATTAATAAAGTTTTTTTTTTAATTTTAAAAATTGTTATATTCAAAAAGGGTAAAAATTTTTGGGGAAATAAGGCCGAATATAGTTTCTAGATTTAGTAATCTACCAAAAACTCCCTTCAGATCATTTTAGAAGGTGGTCGAAAAATGGGAAAAATTTCGTAAGATGATTAATAGAACTTCTGGTAAAGTTGCGTAAAAATCCACAAAAATGCCTAAGATCTAGATAGACTTTTTCTATCCTAAAATGTTGCCATATATGCAGGAGATTCTGGAAAAATGCTAGGAGAAGGAGAGAAGGTAGTTGAAAAGATGCCAAAAATTTGCCAAGGTGTAAGTTCTGAAAAATTGAACTTTTTGGAAAGGTTGCTTAAGAATTCATAAACACTTCTACAATATTATTTGAACGACGAACTGTATCGAAAAATACAGCGAAATGATGATCTCGGCCGAAAATTTCTAAATATTCACTGTGAAAGTCATTTTTTTTAATTATAAAAATTTGTATAATTCAAAACAGTAAAGAAGTGAAGGTAAAAATAACTTCTGGAGAATAGTTTCTACAGAAAAAAATCATTAAATAATTTTCAAAAGTAGTCGAAAAAATGCCAAAAATTTCGTAAGTTGACAGTACTCCGAAAAGTAGAGTTTTTGGAAAAGTTGCCTAAAAATTCTCAAAAAATTTTGCGAAATAGATCTCTACGAATAAGGAAGTTAGTACAAAGTGCCGCAATCACGAGATTTTACACGGCGAAATATTCCTCGAAAAAGTGAAGCTTTTCCGATTTGCCTGAAATTGAATTTCTGGAATAATTTTTCACTGTACAATGCCTCTCTGCCATCAATGCAGAATTAATTTATACAATCGACTCTTGAATATTGTTACCCGAAAACTATTTTTTGAGATACAGAATGAAGCACGTTTTTGTTTGAAACGTAATGAATACTCAACAG